ACTGAAAGTCATACATGCCAATGCATCACTGATTGCCACAAACGGCTACGTATCGAGTACATAGCAACTAGAATCACTTTTACTATTCTATATATTCCTTAGGGTCAATATATCATTTTCAGTACAGGTAATACATTTTTTCAGTTACAGAGAGGCAAAAAAACTGGCTTGAATGTTTTAGAGAATTATTATCAAAGGCCAGGCTCATTCGTAGGCAATAAAATGACTTTTAGAATTCAATTGCAGTAAATGCCTTAATTAATCCTTGAATCAGAAAAAAATAGATATTTTGATTTTGCAAAAAATGTATATATTACATACTTACACCACACACACCACACACACAACACACACACACACACACACACACACACACACACACACACACACACACACACACACACCACACACACACACACACACACACACACACACCACATATATATATATATATATATATATATATATATATATATATATATATATTATATTATGTAATATATATATATAATATATATATATATATATATATATATATATATATATATATATATATATATATATATATATATATATATATATATATATATATATATAATATATATTATTATATAATATATATATATATATATATATATATATATATATATATATATATATAATATATATATATATATATATATATATATATATATATATATATATATATATATATATATAATACACATATATGCATACACACACACACACACACACACACACACACACACACACACACACACACACACACACACAACAACACACACACACACACACACACACACACACACACACACACACACACACACACACACACACACACACGCACACACACACACACACAACACACACACACACACACACAACACACACACACACACATACACGCACACACACAGACACATATATATAACACATACATACATATATAATATGTATATGTTATATATTTTTTAGCTTAGATTAATGCAACATTGGTTAGTTACAGAAAATTAACGTCCGTATACACTTTGTAATCATCTAAAATCTCACATTTCCAGCAAATAGATGTATCTAAAACATCTTTGGAAATACAATTTCAGAATCACAAACTTCCAATCCCTTGACAACTCACTGGATGACTCACTAGATGTTTCATATACCCCCCCCCCCTCTATATTTTTATTTAGATCCAAATGTCACTAGATCTAAAAAAAAAAAAAAAAGAAAAAAAAAGAGAGAGAAAATAAAAAAAATAAAAAATCAAATGACGTAAGCATGGTGATGATATTGGCCGTCAGAGTTTTAAAATCGTGACGAAGGGCGTGCGGGCGGCCTGCAGATGTCACAAGTGGGTGGCGCTGGGCAAGACTGCAGGCGTGGGCGTGGGCTGGAGGCCAATGTTTATTTGCTCGTCAGGTTTAAAGGGCGCGACGAACATGGCTCCTGTGCTATGTGTACAGAAGCGTAGTGTATATTGTGTTTGTATGGATACTGTTTGCATTCCTCTTTATAATGGGTGTTTTCAGAGGGGCGCGTGTGTACGTGTTTGTGTGCGTGGAAGTTTGTGTTTATGTGTGTGTGTGTGGATGTTTGTGTGTATGTGTGCTTAGGTGTGTGTGTGTGTGTGCGTGCGTGTGCCCGTGTGTGTATTTTATTAGTTATTATATGTTACTTTTATGGCGTCTTTCGCTTGTCCTGTTCTCTATGTGTCCTCTACACCTACGTATTTCCTCTTTTCCCAGCACCTTCTTTTCTTCTATTTTTTTTTCTTTTTTCTTTATCTCAACCCCTTTCTCCCCTCTCTCAATTTTCTTCTCTATCAGAAATGTTACCTAATATTTATTTGTTCTACATCCTTATTATACATTTTCTGTTTTATTTTCCTGATCTCTTTCACAATCATGTCTTCCGATGTCTTTCCCTCCTCCTCTTTCTCACCCCTTCTCATCCTTTTCCTCTTCTCTTTTCACCTCCTCCTCACCTCCTTCCCCTTCCCTCCTCACTAGTACGCAGAGGCTGCCAGTAAGTTTTTTTAATACTTTTTTATATATATCTTAAATAAGGTATTCAGATTCCGGGCAAACAGTACATTATACTCCGAGGAAGCATTTGTGTCAAAACGTCTAAACAATTAAATAATCTACTTTTTCAGTTATCTTATTTCTTGATTATGATGACGAGGATATAGTTAATAACAAAAATATTTATTCGTATTCAGGATTAAAAGAAATTTGAGATCTCTAGACACACGTACAGACGCACAAACAAAACGACACACATCGTCACATGTTTGCGAAGATGGTTAAAAGGAGAATAAGATAACTAAACAAAACAAACAGACACACAAACAAAACGACACATTCCCCATGTTTGCGAAGATGGTTAAAAAAAAATGAGATAATTAAACAAACAAACAAAACGGCACACATCGTCACATATTAGCAAAAGTGACTAAAAGAAGAATAAGATAATTAAACAA